AGAACCAATAATACTTTGCAGCTGTGTAGAGATTCCATGCAAAGATCTCAAAGCACTTCAGAAGAATTAACTAACCGGGCATAAAAACCTCTGATTGGTAGTGTTTTACTTTGTGTTCCCATTGGGAAACTAAGGCAAGCACATTCAAGAATCCACAGTAATTTAGTGTCACAGCTAAGAATCCTACTTCGGCAAGCTTTGGATCACGCCTATAAATTTTTGGCTTATTTATGACTCCGGTATTTTGTCTTTTATTCACTTGATAGAATATGTGGTTTATCTTGTTTTCTTTTGCTGAGTGTCAGAGATTAGTTTACATTATACTATGTAAGTCTAGAAGTCTATTTTTTGTTATTCCTGCTTATTTTTTTCCTTTACCAGCAGTTATTACTCTGCCTCTATGTCATGACAACTTGCCAGAAGGACAGTTCCAAATTTAACATTGAAAAGCCTCCTGTGTTTTTTGACATGCAGCTACATCTGTATATAGACTGAATATATAGTAAGAGGTAACAGAAGTGTTTTAAGGTGGTAAACCAGAGATTGTTATAGGAACTATAGTTATATTATGTATCTATACTTACAGGATACTAGATTTTTAATCTCTTTTTGCAATGCGTAAAGAAATCTAGGTAGATAAAATGCAAGATGATATTTAAGATTTTTATTAAATGCATTTTATTGTAAGACATACAATGATCTTTCTATTACTCTCTGTACCAGAAATCATGTAGTATTGTGATCAGTTTTAAAAGGTAGGTTTTTGCCACAAGCAGAATTCTTTCTACATGTAATTTTAGACCACAAGTTGAACTCTTCTCTCTTTTTCAGCAGATTTATAGCTACTTTTTATTTTCTCACTCCTGGTTAGATTGACCTATGACCAGAATTTCTCAAGTTCTCTTTGATGCCTTAGTTCTGTTCAATCTGACCATTTTACCTCAATTTGTGCTCAAATCCATACAAGAAAAAAGGGTAAAACAAAGAGCACACATGGAAAAATTAAAACGTTGCTACAATCAAATTATTTTTCAGCTTATGATTATAATCACAAAGGCAAGAATATATGACCAAGGGACTGTCACAAATAACTATTTTTTTCTGAACTTGTGATAAGACTGTTATATTTTCATTTAAAAAAGAAGTCCTTAAACACTATCGACTTCCCACCAACACTCAAAATTTTAAATACTGCTGGTAAAGGGAGTCAATGGATCAAATTCAGTATATCTGAAGTCACTGAAATAAAGGCCCCTAAGAAAAATGTGTCAATTTTAAAGGTCTTTCCTAACTGAAGACCATTTTGTGATAGAGCCAAAGGTTAATAAAATCAGTAGTGAATGTAGCAATTTTACAGATAAGCTATTCACAACAAGTGTAGTTACTTGAATAAAAAGCTAATTCAGTTCTAAAATGCCACATGCAGTAGCAGTGAATAGCTGCTTTTAGGTGCTTTCTGGAGGAGGATAAAATACAGAATCACAGCACTCTTCTTTTCCAGCATCCCTGGCTGCCTGTAAATTGCCGCGAATGGGACTGTAGGCTGACAGGCTCTATTAAGACAAACTGCCTTTCTCATCGGAGAGATAAAATAAATCAGGTGTTTAGTCAAATTAAAATACTTCAGATGGAGCAGGCCCTGGGGAGCACTGATCCACCTGACAAATCTGAGAGAAACTCAAGACAGATGTGTTTTGGGGATAAGGAAGACCCCATGGAAAAAAAAAATGCACTGCTGTCTTTGGAGTAAGAGAATACGATTAGAACAGAGAGCGAGCCGTGATATATAATATTTTACGGAAGCTGGCATATTTACTGTATATTTTTTACTAAGCTTTTTGTTTTATCTGGTTTTATGGCAAATACATTTTACAGATACCTATATTTTTGTTTTATTTATAGATATTTTTAGTCAGCAGAAGTTGTTTATTTACTGGTAATGAGTTTAGGAATCTCATTGCTTGCTGCAGTAAGTGGATGCAAAACAGATGATGATGGCACACAGCTACTGATGACCTCTCTTGGCCCAGCCAGATCAGCTCAATCTGGTCTGCATTCTGAGCAAGTTGTTTTTTATTGGTATTTAAACTATAAAATAATGGTTGGGATTTTCCACTCTAAATTTAAATTATACCTCCCCCATACTGTTCATACAACAACATTCTGCATCTTATGCTTTTTCTTGTCTTGAGCAGTGTTCGGTTAGGTGTCTTGCAGCTTCATGGAGGTCTCGTTATTTTCCAGGAGCACAGTGTACATTTTATGGTCATCAGTTCTATTCTGTTGTTGGAGTACATAGCACAGTACAAATTAAAGAGTATAGTACTTTAAATGGGGTCATTCATTTCAGGTATGTTTCTCTGAGGGGGAGAAGGAGAGAAAAACAATTACTATGAATTCCTGAATAAGAACAGTTACTTCTGCCTGCTATTGTATAAAATTCAGAAAAAAAGAAAAAGAAATTACCTTATCAATTTTCTGCAACTATATCAAATGGTTCTAACTAATCATAACAAAACAATCAAATTTTGTAGCCTTAGAAGGCACTCTTTTTGGTAGCTTTCTACTCATATTATGAAGCAAGTACAAAGTGTACAGAATAATATGGAAATGGAGCAGGAGATTAATATCTGCTTTGGGTATGTAAAATATTTTATGACTGTAAGATCAGGGGCCTGCATTACAATGCCAAAACTGCTTGACACATGTGCAAGTCTCAAGCTGTGGTTTCCCAGGTGGCAGTGGATGGCAGCGAGTGTCATTTGAGGAAGCAGGTTGCTTCCCATTGGCTTTCTAAAATAGGTGGAGTGGTTGATCTCTTCTAGTCATGATGGGTAAGGGAATTTTTCTTTGGAAGAACGGTCTTTTATCTGTGAAAATGAGTTTCGGCATACAATAACATACCCAAAAGCACCTAAATAACCTTTGATACATGGTGCAAAATCTTCAAGACTGAATAACGGAGGTTAAGAGGATTAAGGTAAGTCTATACTGAAGTTGCAGATAATTGAACTGATGTCAACAGTGTGTAGCTCAGTACAAGCTAATAGATCCTGGCAAGGCAGCACCTTCAGTGCAGATATTTTCCTGGCCACATACCTGCCTAAGCTTACTTTCAAAAATCTTTTTTTGTTGTTGTTTTGAAACAGCTTTTTGCACAGAACTCTTTTATTGCTTCAGTCATGCATATCACACTAAAGTTTTGCAATAAGTTAGTCTTGAATGGTAGAGTGTCCTTCAGGTTTAACTTCATGCGTCCATTATACTTCTTGTGACTAAGAAAATTGCTAACCATTTCTAAAACTTCTACTACAACAGAAGTTACTCATTTTTCCTTGTCCGGAGGCCTGTGTCACATGTATACTGAATTAAGATTTGGCATTACAGGGTACCGAAACACTAGTTTGTTGCAGACTCTTTTAAAACTAAGATAGTTAATAGTGACTAAGAAACTGAATATTTTCAGTACTTTATGTTGTTAAATCAATTAAGAAATGTACAGAAAAAGAGGTACCCTTTGTTTCTGGGAGTTTGCTTTGTTTAGAGTGAATTACTTAAGCCATGCAGTCTCTTTTTCCACAGAAAGCCATTACAGACAGAGGTTTTCTTGTATGCTGCTTTTGCAAATGAAATTCTGTTTAAGAATAATATTGGTCCTATCATAGCATGATGTAAGTAGTAGAGCATTTTGGGTTTGTGACCTGTTTGGCAGGAGTCTGTTTTGTCTTCCCTCTCCTTATGAAACCTGTCAACCTCTTTCTTCTCTTCCCTAGAAGATATCCATCTTACTCCTGGGAAGAAGGTGGAGTCATAATTTTGGTGACAGTTTCTCCATTCCCTCCCAGGTCCTGTTCCTCACACATTTTCTTCCTCTTCAAAAGTCCTCTGACTTCTTTATCACAGTCCTCTATTGTGAATGGAGGAAAGGAAGGATGCAAATACCCTCTCTTTTGTGCCACTTTTCATATCATTGTGGCAGACTGCAGACCTGACTAGTTCTTGATTTGGTTCGCTTCTTCTCTAACTCTCAGTTCTCCTGTACAACATCAAATTGTTTCATTTATCCCACTTCCAACTGTAAACCTCTTTCAGATGCTCTTCCAATATTCCTGAACTGCTGCCTTACTGTAATTAGATTACCTCTTATAGAGCTGTGGGTCTGAGATGCTCACAAAAGGAGATGCAGTGTATGGCTCAAATACAGGAGCTGACATTGCTGTTTGTGACAGAATAATATGTTCACATGTAAGACAGGATATTTTTGGATTGATTTGCAAAAGGACCCTGTACTCTCTACTTAGGAGACCCATGCAATTTACCCATAAACAGACCATTAAGCATCATTAGTGCAAAGAATAAATGTACCGTAGTTTCATATTAATTAAGTACTCTCTGTAGAGTAAACTTTGAAAGTTAAATGAACATTTTTAAGCCATTTTCTCAGGTTAGCCATTTCTCTTAGGGACAAGTAGAGCTGATTTTTAATACACATTCCATAACCAAAGCTTACATTTACCCAAACGACCTACCAGATATATGGGTATTTTAGAGAAATGATCAATAAACTATTAAACTGCTTCTTCCACTGAACAGCATATTTTAATTTTTTTTTAGCACTTTTACATACTTGGGGAAAAAAACAACAAAATGTATAAAGTGAAGGAAAATTATGTCTAATAAACTGTGAATGTATTTATCACATTGGGCAGATTTAGATGGAAAAGATACAGGGATTTGTACACAGTGCATCGTTAATTACTCCTGTCAGAAAAGAAGAAATCCTCTATATCTTTTCTGCTCCAATTTTTGTTGTATCCTCCAGTGCTTAGAGCACAGCAAAGCTATGTGCTAGATTCTTTTGGGATTTGTTAGTAAAATATATATTCAAGCTGCCACTTGAAATAACCATGTTGGTGATTCAGCCTTTTTTTTTTTTGTGAATATTGCTTGGTAATTATTGTCTATCTCATATTTACAGTACATCTTTCCTGCACATTTAGGTACACCAGAAAGCCTGGCAGAAAAAGAGCGACAGCTCTCTACTATGATCACCCAGCTGATCAGCTTACGGGAGCAGCTCCTGGCTGCCCATGATGAACAGAAAAAGTTGGCAGCCTCACAAATTGAAAAACAACGGCAGCAAATGGACCTTGCTCGCCAACAGCAAGAACAGGTGAGGCTCCAAGAAAGAAACCTGTGAAAATGTTTCATGCAGAATGCTTATCATAAACACTGTTCTACTTGGTGTTTCCTTTCATCTTTTTTTGATAAAAGATCTTAAATATCTTCAGAAATTACATCTTTTTCCAGAAAGAGGAAATATTATAGGACTCTGAGGAAAAAAGTGGGTGTGGACATTTAAATAATTTCTTTCCTAGAATAACTGGCATTTGATAGATTTCACAGTTCATGTTTCTTGCACTGAGATGCAATTTTGGGAGTTCCAAATAAGCCAGACTATAACCATTATTTAACTCTGTGTCTTTTTGACAAGAAAATAATTGAATAAAACCTTAGGCATCCTCAAACCTTCAAATATGTTCTACAAGTAAGGTTTGATTTGTTTGTTTGTGTTGTGGTTTTTCTTTTTTTTTTTTCTTTTTAAAGATGTGGTTGTCCAAGGAGCTGTCCTTTTCTCATTGTACAAAAGTGTAACAACAGTGATCCCATACACTAGTTCCCTAGGCATTAGATCAGACAGATCCAAATTAATGTGTGGTTTTTAGGAATCTGACATTATTACTAGAATTATCTTTTCAGTTAAACGTATTTTATAGGATATATACAGCAATATATGCTCTGTTGATTTTAATGAGTTGTGACGTCTGGTATTTTATGTGCTTGAGTATTTGCCCACATGTAGGAATATGGACTCATCCCCTAATGGAAAATAACATAAAGGAACACTGTAAAAAATCAGAAGTTAGAATGTCATTTAGCCATCCAGAGATGACACAGTAATTAACTATTGACACTTGTGAATAAGCTAGCACAAATTAATCTTGACACATTTGCAGACGAGTGATATCTTACAGTGAACACTTTGTAATTATATTTCAAAATGAAAATTAAATGACACTTAAAACTAGGTTGTCATGCTCAATGAAGCGAGCATGTAGCTCAACCGATAGGCAAATAAAATTCAGAATTTGAGCCACATGGTGCCTGTGTACCCTACTTTACTGTGTCAAGCCTATACATCAAGGCTATGCTATGGTAATTGCATTGCGGGGTATTGGATACATTTTCTATCACAGTACTATTCCATCTAAGAGGAACCATTGGCATTAGATGCTTCGTGGTATATTTCTGGTTTTCATCAGGAAATGCCTATTCAAATGGTACTATATTGTACATACAGGTACAAAAAGCTGTTCACAAACAGTCTGAACTCCGGCAGATCAGTGCCTTTGCACGTGTAAACAAAGATCTCATCCTTGCCTTGGCTATAACTTCCCATGTTAAGTAGCAGCCAGGTCACCAGCAGCTCCAAACAATTCTGGACATAGGATACTGTCTATCTGTGAAAAAAGATACAGCACTTGGAAAGAAAAAGCCATGATGCAGCTCCATGCAGTGTCTGATTTCAATGTGAAATTACAAATAATTCCTTCCTGAAGCTGAATATTATGATAATCTTTCTATTACCTTCACTGAGATTTTAGCAGCAGGTACAATGTGGATCTAAACCCGACAGAGCTTATCTTTAGTGACAAGCACTACACTTCTAAGATGGAATAGCACAACTGGTGTGTTACTCATTAAAAATAGTAACTCAAGCACTCATACAGGTTTTTTAATATTCTCTGTAGCACAGTTACCATTAGAGTTGCTTTTCCAAGCATAGATGCTATTGCTGACCACTGATTTCACAAAAGATGACCTGAGGTCCTAGGACCTGCCCCTAGGTTACCTGGGCACACAGGCAGCTAGCTCTGTTTGAACTACCTTTTTCACTAGCAGACCAGGGCCTGCTTCTTCAGTCTTCATTCACCATATTTTTATTGACTTTACTGGGAGATTTATCCAGAAATATTTGAACACCAGGCTCATATAGGGAGTTTGATCCCTGGTACAAGCATCAGTGTAGTGGGCTATGATAGTTGCTTGATTCCTTTTCTGTGCAGCACTTTGCCTTGATCCAGCCCCAGAGTCACATAGACCTCAAATTGTCTCTTTGAGGCCATATGCAAGACTTAAAATATGTATGAATTTTGTGTTGGTCTCCCATACAAAAGTGAATTTTAACTGTAGCAGTGAAAAAAAATGACAGAGCTATTTCCAGGAGACAAAGTGAGAGATTAAAGAAATGACAGACTTGATCTCTGTGTGTGCACAATTACAAGCTGTTAATATGTAACTGCAGATTCCTTAGGAGTTAATCTGAACAGTTTGCACTAAAACTATGTGATTGTTTATTTCCAAATCAGTCTTGCTGCATTTCTGTAATTTTTTTATCATAAAAACTTTTTACTTAGTTTTCTCTGTAACAGAGAGAGTAAGTGTGCCTGGAAGATGGTGGGGAAGGGGACCAGGAGGGTTTTTGCCAAAACTGAAACAGTGGGCTCGAGTGACCAAGCTACCGTTGTCACCAACTTCTTGCCATTTTATGTGGTTCCTCTGCTCTAGATAAATATTTATAGGAGGGGAAATTATACTTAAGAAATGAAGGTAGCAGAAGTTGCTGAGGCTGGGGTTTCCAGGAAACACAAATCTTGTCCTTGTTTCAGTCCGCTGCACAGTTGCCCTTCTAAAGCTGAAGTCCAGTTGTTCCCCCAGCTCCCTGTAGCATCCCCCCCTAGCTGCAGTCCATGTTACTCATTGCAGGGAGCAGCTGTGTGGTCTGAGGGCAGGATCCTATCTCTCTTCTGTTCTTGCATGCTGATTTTGGATGGTTCGTGGGAACTGGGGGTGTGTCTGGGACAGATTCTCTCTCATTAGTCTCTTAGCACTCACTGCCCCAAACACTTGCTTCTCTCCATCTATGTTAGAGAAGGGATATAGTGAACCTTTACCCTCCAGATCCCTTACTGAATCTAACAAATGGGGGTAAGAATGTCTACATCTTTCACAGGGTTGTGCTGAGGATGACTTACTGAGCATTAGGTACTGCTTTTACACAGAATGACACCCTACTTCCTTGAGTAGTTCCACAGAAGACTTTGAGATTTACAAGAGAAGTAATGTGCTGCTCATTGTGAATGAAGTTAGAGAAGCTTGTCCTAGGAGCTTGTGCTGAATAGCAAAATATCTATAAATATTAGCTAAGGCTCCAGTTCAGCAAAGCAGGAAAATGTGTGTTTAACCTTAAGCACCTGAGTAATCCCATCCCCATTCAGCAAAGCACTTAATTTTAAGCATGTGTTTCATTCCCATTGTAGCTAACAGTAATGCATCATAGTCAAAGATCACCACGGGCTTAAATGCTTTGTTGAATAGTGATGAGATTATTCACATGCACACAGCTAAACGCATATTTCTATGCTTTGCAGAGTTGGGGTCTAAGTGTTTAAAATACATATTTCTTACTGGCTAACTAGATTTTTATGTTGTATTTAAATTTAAAATGTTTGTCACATATACAGATACCTCTTATTTAAAAAATAAATGATGCTTAATAAAAATAGAATAAAGAATAACTAATAAGAAGTTTTTCACTCATAATATTGAAGTTTCAATATTACTGTTTTAATTTAATGGCAATTTTATTTCTAATAGATTGCAAGACAACAGCAGCAACTTCTGCAACAGCAGCACAAAATCAATCTACTGCAGCAGCAAATTCAGGTCAGTGTGTTTTATTGCTCTCTTCTGATTATATTTAAATTCCATTTATGGAGAGGGAAGGATCTAAAATAAAGCAGCCACATGCCTTACTAACAAGCCTCAGTAAAGATGGTCTTTATGGAGGGTCTTTGTGTCTTTGAAAATTATCGTCAAAGGTATTTTTGGTGGAAAGAGCTTTTCTTTACTAAGCAGAATTTTCTTCTGAAAGTTATGAACTATTTCTTAAATCTTGTCATTTAATTCTGAAATCTGCAATCAGTTTGACTTGTATTGTGTGAAGTAAAAGCAGAGTCTCAATTATTGTTTATAGAATTCCTTATTCTACAAAGGCAAAATTGGCTTTATAAGAGGGTTAGAAGAATGTTTTCCATTTCATTAACTAAAGCAAACAGCTATAGAATAGGATAATAGACATTGAGACAGTACTAAGTCCCTGGGACCAGTCTGCTCATGTACAAAGACCCACAGGTGTATGTGTCCCATGTATCTTTGGAGTAACTGTACCTTCGTGGATCTGGGAGTGTTCTGGAGGTATTCAATTATCTGTGCTTGTACTCAGGACCTGGTTTAACTCTGCACAAATATATGCGTGTAGGGAGTGACATGTAGGTAGAAGCATTATTGACATGTCACTGTATTCCCTTCTCTGCTTCCCACTTTGTTTGAAAGCATTTCCATGGGCCTGTTCTTTGATGGAAATATTTTGGTTTGTTCTGACAGATGATTGTGCTGCCGATCATTTCTTATAAGCTTGGACTATCAGTTTTTTTCCTTAATCAGCTGATTGCCACGTTACTAGATGTCAAAACTGAAGTTTTTCCTTCCCTCATCCCAAAGGAATGCATGTAAATGCTTTTGCAAATATTGTAATGCAGTTTCAGTTACACTTTAAGGAATTCAATTAACACATATAAATGTGTTGATACCTGGGATGAGAGAGACAATTGAATTTTAAAGCACCATTATTGTCATTGCCTAATGGAAGACTGCATGTTCATATTAGGTGTACATAAAGGATGGAAGAGACATAAGAATAGTGAAAGGAAAAAATACACCATCTTCTGGTGTTATTTGCAAGTCTGGCTTCAAAAAACAAAGAATCATGTAAAAAAAAAATTTACTTGGCATAAAAGCTAAGATTGAAACATAGCCAAGTCTGCTAAACAGAACAGCTATTTGCATGAGAAATTTCTAATTTTTTAAATTCCTTTAGAAATTAGGACATAGAAAGAGGAAACATGACCACGTAATTTTTATTCCTATTTGGAGAATGTGGGTATGTTTTACTGGGAAGTATTCTGCTCTGTAGTAAAAACTTTAAAGGTACTTTATGTTTCAGCTCACTCAGTACTTCCCAGTAGCTTTACCCTTCCACTGACTCTGGGGAAAAGCAGTCTTAGAATAGGTTGCAGGTTCATTTTAGAATAGGTTGTAGGTTCATTTTCTTGTTCACTCACAATTTTCCTCTTACATAGTGCTGAAGCCTCCACAAGTTTTCTTTCGCATCCTTTCCTAAACGTATATGGAAAGAAGTGTTTTAATGATTGTTCTGTTCATGTGAGCTAAATTATTTCTTGATGATCCTTCCCTATATTTGTTTCAAAATTCTTGCCAATATAAGCTACTTTTATTGCATAGTTCCTCACTAGTTTGGCCTCTTTATTTATCCTTATATTTACATGAATCTAATCTGTGTATTTGAGGCAGTGAGGACTGTTTCCTCTCCCAGCTTGTTAGCCAGATTGGTAGTGGGCATCTCATTGCCCAAGGAACGTTGGAGATTCCAGTATGAAGCACTAGGCACGTTGGGCAGATGCCATCTCAAACATACATTGATCTTACAAGGAGATTACTAAAAAAAGCTTGTTAGGAGATTGTTTCCTAGGCTAAACACCAGCTTACATGGTCCATTTGCTTGTGAGCCAAGTGGTGGTTCATTGTTTATTTGTTATGTCTTAATTCTGTGGTAGGTTTGCTAGCCAGGAGTTGCTCAGGAGAGAAGTTAGTTGTTAAGTCGCCTCTGCAGTTCTTAATAGGTTTGTTGCTATTGAATTGATTACGAGTGTTGCAGTTTGTTAAGACCTGTACCTCCATCCCACCTACAGTCCTTAGGGAGCTAAACCAGGAGGCAGGCGAGAGATGCAGTGCTGTGCCATTTCTCCCAGGTCCCCTCCCAGCATCTTCCCAGGAAACCTCAGTACCAATACTGAAGTTGCGCTGGTGACTCTGGGTGGAATTCATCATATCAAAAGCAGATAACTGCACTGTAGACTCTGTCTCAATTAATTATCCAGGCTGTTTTTATAGTGAACAGAGAGAAGCAGAGTGAATAGTTTTAGGATGCAATTCATCTTGTCCTAAAGTAGACATTTAAAATATGTCAGATGAATTGTTCCCTAAAATGGCTGTTTCTCTCCATTAACTATAAAGGATACAGATGCCAATGCCTATAGTGTAGAGGTCTGAAGTGAGATGAGGTGAATCACACTCTCTGTGGCTTGAGGAGAAAAAACAATTTTCTAATAAATGTTTACATTCTCAGTTTAGTTTTTGGGCTTGGTAGAATTTGGAACTGTGTCCCAAATAACTTACTTGATTTTATTCAGAAGGTCAATTTGTTTAAAGACACTTTTGAGCAACCCTTCTCAGGAAACAGCAATTACTTACACAAAATGACGTGGATTCTTACCTATACTTTGTATGCATGGGAAAACAATGGTACTCTTCCCTGACACTCCCCTTTTGAAGAGATTACAAAATATAAGTAGCACAGGTGCCAGTTCCATCTGGGCATGGGCCTATTCATGGCAGAGCTACTTGAAATAAGTACAGTATGTTCTCCAGGATGCTGGAGTGGGGCATTGCTGATGCAATGTTTTCATCACATGAGACACACAGTGTACCACTGTCATCTTCTGAGGTACAGTGTTAATTTCTAAACAATAATTTCTGTGCATAAGTGCATCCAGTTTATTTAACCATTTAAACAATTAGAAATTACTTTAGATGGGGCTTACAAGATTTCTGTCAACCACATATAAAAAATGGAAATAATCCATATTAAACAAAACATATCTTTCCCTGGACACCTACTGGGTTAATTTACTGAGCATTTTCATTATTTGGTATTTATTATTTACATTATGTTGTATATTATTTGTTAATTTAATAATTTTAACACTTTATTTCATTTAGTTGTTTTTGTTTTGTTTTTAAGACCATTTACTGGAGCACCTTGCTCCAGACTTATTATACATCCAAAACTTTGTCAACAATCTATGAGCAAAGAGGACGTTAGCTAGGCTGAGCATAGGAAAACAACATAGGTATTTCAAGAGTACTGAGGTCATTAAATGTTCTGCATAATTGTCTTATGTTTTCTAAGTGAAGCTAGTGTTACTTTCAGGGTGTGCATGTTGGGGAAAGCAGTTTTGTTTGTTAGCTAAAGGGAGTGGGAATGTGGAGTGGTTCTCAGTTCTGTCTCTGATTATCTGAAATTTCGCAAATTGTTTCCTGTTCCTCAATTCAAACGTAATGTTTTGAGAATCTTAAATGAAAAATTTCAAATAAATGCAGTGTATTATTACTTTTCAGCTCAAAATGTTCATAAAGTTCATAAACACTCTTCTACAGAGAAGTTCATAGAGATGGGAGGAAATCTAGTATGCCAAATTAAGTTCTTCATTCTGCAAAGCTGTGCAGAGAAATCATTGCTTTTAGCGTAAATAAAATGGAGAAAATACTGTAGGGCAAGTAAGAGCTCACAGATCAGTCTCCAGGTTGATTCAGATTTTTAAAAAGAATTTTCTTTTTTGTTTAATAAAAAGTATTCATTCTTAAAGTAGAAGGGGCAAAATGAGACTATCTCAAGGACAACTCTTAGCCTGTGCTGTGAAAGTGAAGACCTCTAGGGATAAGGGAAGAAGCTGTTTAAAGGAGGAATTTGGTGGTACATCATGAAGATGAGACTACACAGGAAGGAGGGAAGGCTTGGATCTCTAGAACGGTTCCAACCTTGCGAACTGCTTCAGACCCTGAAATCCCTGTGAATTCAGTGCCTTGTCAGAATTCAGTCCTTTCAGAATGAGGCTTGGGGACTGCTTCTGACCCCACCACATCCAGCTGAGGAAGGGGATCAGATCCCACTGATGCTTTGAGCATGTTGCTCCAGGATTGCCCTACGGGGGGGGGGGCAGGATTTAAGGGTTGAAAGTTTGAGGGCTTCCCTCCTCTGGTGGGGCAGGCTTCGTTAGGGCGAGTCCTAAATTGTGGCTGAAATCTTTAAAGGGACATTGGTTGTTGAGCTTTTCTGAAAACACTTGTGATAGGTACTACAGTGACAGCTGATCCAAACTGTTTTTGTCCACTTCCATTCACCTTATTCCTCTGTGCTATGCTCAATGCTATTGCAGAGCATTTCTTCTTGTGTTTGAATTGGCACGATTTCCATCGCATAGAAAAACCGTCTTCCTCTGCTCTCATAAGTATTCTGTTTTAATTCAGCCACTAGAAATTATTCCTAGTAGTAATTTTTTTCCAGTATTAACCTATACATTCATGCTGTTGTAGTTTCACATTAATGTTCTTGCATTTTCTGTTTCAGTCAAAAAGAGTGAACATGATTACTGTGATAGTAAACAAACAAAAGAATAGTAACATAAAAATTACAACTATTTAAACTGTCCTTGAATAGGAATCATTTGAATCATACTTAAAACTTAAGAGGCTGAACCAATGAGTCTCTCTTCTTATCCATGATTAACTACTGACAATTCAGGTACCTGGTGAGCTGAATAAGGACTATCTCTTTATGTGAAGTACATGTCTAAAGATCAGGAATAATTACATTCCACATTAGCCTTCATGGCCTCCTTGACCTGGTTAATTAATTTTTTGCTAGGATAATAATAGTAGAAATAGATTTAAAGATATGCTTCATCATTAAGTATGTAACTGACCTCCAATTTTAAGAGCCGAACCTTTCATTTATTGCCTTTTGG